TTTTTTAATATTGAAATCATCATTTTATCATTGCAAACTAAATAAAATCTTTACATTTTTTGTCCCCAATGATATTCTTTTAATTCTCAATGATAAATAATAACTTTTGTCAAAATCTATTTATAATATATTTTATATATATAGATTATAATCTTGATTGGTGTTAATTAATGATTTTCTAGTGAGTAAATCATTAATTTCACTTTTCTTAAGAAATTGACAGGATTCACCGTACTTTTAGCAAGTGATAGATTAGAGGATTTCCCGGAAGTGACATATACCACTTGGGGTAAAAGAATATGTGGATAAAAAGTTGGAAGCTTTGAGTGAGAAGAAACGATGCCATCCAGAGTTGAAAGGATCCAAGTATATGTATACCTTCCGGGAATAGCAATGCTTCAAGGCTGCAACAGGTCTATATATACAAAACGAAAAATATAGACTCCTACAAAGATTATATCTTAGAAAATGATAGCACTATCAATCCATAATGTTTGCTTTCTTTTTAATTGGATTTTTCCTCTACGTGATTGGCAGCTTTTTCTCATAGTTAATCCCTCATAATTCAATATATTGATAGAAATATTTATATTTATAGAAACTTGTGATGTAATATATACCTTTGTCAATATATAGAAGTTCGTAACAGGCGAATTGCGCTTTAGAGGGGTTGTTATGTAAAATGTTTATTTTGAAAATTTTAGAGAAATTTAACCTTTTCGTTATTTTCAAAGACATAACAGATTTAATTATAAAATCATTAGAATATAATGATTATACCATAAAACAATAATATTCAATTTTAAAAATAAATTTTCCCTTTTTAATAATTATTGGAAATATGATTCTACTCTTTAAATCTAAATCAGTTATATTTCACTGATAAGCTGTAGAAATCTACTAATTGCCATAGCGAGAATTGAGCAACTAACCCAGGTGAAAAAATTAACGTTACTAACTTTACTAATGTTACTAATGTCACGGAAACTTTGCCACTACTTTCCCATTACCACTTTCACTTCCACTTAAACTTTTTATAATTTTCATTCCCATTTCTACTTCTACTTTTTCTAATTCTCATTCGCACTTCCATTCTCACTTCTACGCTTGCTAATTCTCATTCCCACTTCACTTCCACTTTTTCTAATTTTCATTCCCCATTTCCACTTCCACTTTTTTATATTCATTGCCACTTCCACTTTTTCTATTTTTCATTCCCATTCCTATTTCCACTTCCAGTTTTTTATATTTATTGCCACTACCACTTTTTCTAATTCTCATTCCCACTTTCACTTCCACTTCCACTTGTTCCAATTTTCATTCCCATTTCATCTTCCACTTTTTTATTTTCATTACAACTTTTTTATATTTTCACTCCCACTTCCATTCCTATTTTTTAAATTTCCATTACCACTTTCACTTTTTCTAATTTCCATCCATTGTAATTAAAAAAAGTGGAAATGGTTGTGTAAATGGAAACTAGAAAGAGTTTTAGTCGAAATGGCAACAGTTAATGAAAATTAGAAGTGGAAAAAATGGGAGTAGAAGTGGGAATGAAAATTAGAAAAAGGGAAGTGGGAAAAAAAATTAGAAAAAGTGGAAGTGGAAGTGGTAATGAAAATAAAAAGTGAAAATGGGAATGAAAATTAGAAAAAGTGAAAGTGGAAATGAGAATTAGAAAGAGTGGAAGTGGGAATGGAAGTGCGAATGAGAATTAGAAAAAGTGGAAGTGAAAACGGGCATGAAAATAATAAAAAATGGAAGTGAAAATGGGAATGAGAATTAGAAAAAGTGAAAGTGGAAACGGTAATGAAAATAAAAAAATGGAAGTGATTTTCGACAAGTTTCTGCAAAAATACAATTTAGAAACAGTTTCTTAATTTTTTTATAGGTACTAACGTTAGTAACATTAGTAACCTTAGTAATATTAGTAACGTTAGTAATGTTAATTTTTCTACCTGGGAATAATTAGTAGAAATTTACTGATTCAATTAGTAAAATATCAATTACTGATTGAATCAGTAATATAAATATATGGCGGCGGGCGCAAAATCTACTGATTTAATAGTTAATTTTAAAGGTTCAGTCATATATCACTGATTTCCAGTGAAAATTTTACTAAATGAATCAGTCAATCTGTTTTACCCATTACCGATAATACAGATTGACTGATTCATTTAGTGAAATTTTCACTGGAAATCAGTGATATATGACTGATTTTCAGTGAAAATTTCACTAAATGATTCAGTAACCGACTTCCTAGCTATTTCACTAGTGAAATTTCACTGATTCAAATTAAGAGAGCAGTTAAAATGAAAAGTACTGATTGAATTAGTAAAATTTCTACTGATTCAGATTTAGAGAGTAATTAGAAATTTAAATAAATTAATTCGTTGCCAATATTAATATTACCGTTGCTAAGGAAAGAAAGTCATTGTTACTAAGGAAAAAAACGGTCATGGTAACGATTGCCTTGGTAACGGTATAGCTATTGAAACAGTTGTCATAGAAACAATTACTATGGTAACAGAGTTGTCATAGAAACGAATGGTAACGGCTGTTAGGTCACGAAACCCTAAAAAATACCCTTATACAAATATTTAACCAAAACTGCACAAAGCAAAAATTATGATTGTAGTTATATCGAAAATAAAAAAAAAAGTGTGAAAATACCTTTTATAGTGGTATTTTATTTCCTAGGAGCACTATAATCTTAATGCCTGACAAAATTGATCTCTTAAACATATTATTTTCCACAAAAACGTGCTCTCAGCGTGTTTAATCCGAGTTATCGGAAATCTAAAAGGCGTAAGATGAGAAAAGAGGAAGAAGACGAAGAAGAAGAAGAAGAAAAAGAAGAACGACAAAGTACTGGAAAGCCAGCCTCTTTGTTAACAGTGTACATTTCCTTTGTTGGCAGGAATCGGTGTGGCAAAGTCAGAAGATGGAGGGGTTGAAAGCTAGGCAGGAGTACGGATCGATAGAGCCCCCAAGGGATAGTGTTATGGGGGAGGTTTCACTCGTAATGCATGGGGTTGTTGGCGTTCCATGGCGGTGGATATATTTTCGATCTCCCCCCTCCCAACATTGTCCAATTCGTCATCCCCTTATGTCTCCCACCTCTATTTCCAACCAGTCAGGGACTTCTTTGTCTGAGTTCGTTAAACTCCCCCGATGTTTCCTCGCCTCTATATACATATATATATACATATTATTCTTCCTTTCTTTTAATACCTACATCTTTGTTCGATTCTTTATATTCTTTTTCAATTTTTCAAAGAATGCGCGCATCATGCGACGATAATTATTATTAACAACTAAAGAGCACTTCGTTTGATTTTCTCTTTTCATTGAAAGTGTGAGGTGCGCACACACATGACTTTTTCTCTTCAATTGACAACAGTAGAATATATAATTCATCAGTTTTCAAAGCTATCCTTATATTTTAAAACAAAAGAAAGGAAGAAAGGCAAAATTATTAACGCGACACTGTTGAATTGAAAGAAAAGCGTGCGTAGATTTTGAAAGGATTATTTTTGTTGGTAAAGAGACTTAAATATATGCGTATATAAAGGAACAAAAGTCAAAAAGTTACTGTTAATGTACACTTAATCAAACATCCCAAGTAGCACGCAATATTACAGTAATGCAATGGTAACGGTAATGGTAACAGTTGCTATGGCAAAAATTGGCTTGAAGTCTGTTGCTATGGACCTATAGAAACATTTGCCATGGAAACGGTCGCTATGGTAACGGTTGCTATGGAAACGGTCGCTAAGGTAACGGTTGCTATAGAAACGGTCGCTATGGTAACGGTCGCTAAGGTAATGGTTGCTATAGAAACGGTTGCTATGGTAACGGTCGCTAAGGTAACGGTTGCTATAGAAACGGTTGCTATGGAAACGGTTGCTATGGAAACGGTTGCTATGGAAACAGTCGCTAAGGTAACGGTTGCTATAGAAACGGTTGCTATGGAAACGGTCTCTAAGGTAAAGGTTGCTATGGAAACAGTCGCTAAGGAAACGGTCGCTATGGAAACGGTTGCTATGGAAACAGTCGCTAAGGTAACGGTTGCTATAGAAACGGTTGCTATGGAAACGGTCGCTATGGAAACGGTTGCTATGGAAACAGTCGCTAAGGTAACGGTTGCTATAGAAACGGTTGCTATAGAAACGGTTGCTATGGAAACGGTCGCTATGGAAACGGTTGCTATGGAAACAGTCGCTAAGGTAACGGTTGCTATAGAAACGGTTGCTATGGAAACGGTCTCTAAGGTAAAGGTTGCTATGGAAACAGTCGCTAAGGTAACGGTTGCTATGGAAACGGTCGCTATGGAAACGGTTGCTATGGAAACAGTCGCTAAGGTAACGGTTGCTATAGAAACGGTTGCTATGGAAACGGTCTCTAAGGTAAAGGTTGCTATGGAAACAGTCGCTAAGGTAACGGTTGCTATGGAAACGGTCGCTATGGAAACGGTTGCTATGGAAACAGTCGCTAAGGTAACGGTTGCTATAGAAACGGTTGCTATAGAAACGGTTGCTATGGAAACGGTTGCTATGGTAACTGTTACACAGAAAAAACTTGGTCTCAAAATGAGTAGCGAACGTTACTCATTTTGAAGTGCAACAAAAATTAGCCAAGTTGGTGGCGCCACTGTCGATATCGATTAGCATTGGCTCATTTTGAGATGTAACAAAAATGAGACTAGATTTTTCTGTGTACTATGCATTACTTATTTTAACATTTACATTTCAATAATTATTGTAATATATATATAATTGAAAATTCCGATGATAAAAATTAAACTCTATGAAACTAAAAAATATTATTCCCTTACACATATATATTGATATAAATTTGTGTAGTCACCCGTGAATACAAATATATATATTTAAACATTTGATTCATTATATTTAATCAGATATAATAATATATATATATATGGCATAGAGATATTTTTTTTGTAAATGTTTTTACAACAATTAGTCATTGGGAATGTATAAAAAGTGTTGTCTTGAATATCATAAAATGGTGAGCACAGTCTGATAAGGCACCAGTTTTAAAGTGACGTTCAAAGTAGGAGGTATAAGTGAGTACCAGAAATATAAAAATCATGCCTGGTGAGTTAATATAAAATTTCATTTCTTTTTAGCTCATAAATTTGAAAATGTAATTAAAACATGTATTGTAATTTAAATTGAATCGCTTGCATTAAGTGGATATTATTTATGAAAGTTTATACGAATGAAATATATATATATATATATATATATATAATAAACGACTGAAAGTTTTTTTTTTATTTTAAATATACTCCTACTCGCACTTGCAAACTTATTTATTAGCGAATTATTATTCATTATTGTAAAACTATAATAACTATTAGAATTACTTTAACATATTTTAATTATTTTTTTTTATTTTTTTTTACAATAAATTTTTAATAAAATTTTTATTTAGATGATGAAATTCCAATTTGAATGGAGCATTCATTTAAAATTAATTTTTGATTTAAAATCATTGAAAATATAAATAAAGGAGTAATTTGAAAATCTTAAATTTATTAAAGAAAAAAATATATTAAAAAAAATCCAAAGAATGAAAAATTGAAAATATTTATCTATCATGTAATATTGGAGAAAGTTTTGAGCAGACGATTCAAAGTATATATATATATATATATATATATGGCTAAAGAAAGAAAATAAAAGTTTTTCTTCAACGAGAATATTTCTCTAGGCACTTGTTGCAAGGCCTTTGAAGTACACTCGTTTGCAATGTATTTTTCAATAACATTACGACATCAAATATATCACGTGATCCAACAGATAAAAGATAAACCATTTCAAAGCAAATAGTATTTAATATTTTTCTATATGTTAAAAAAAATAGATATAGAAAATAAAAAGAAAATATTCAATAACTTTTTGCTTTTTTTTATCTTCTTTTATATATATATATGTTATTCTATGCTTTTGTAAGTGTATTCTTTTCTGAAAAAGTCAAAATTCCTTGACTGTGTTTTATAAATGTTTAAAAGACCATATATGCGGGTTTTAATTACTCGTATTTACAGAGTGATAAAGATAAAAAAAAAAAGAGTACGTAGTAAAATAAACTGAAAATCGTTTTTGAAAATTAAATATCGGAAATGAAATTGTCTTAAATCAATAAAGTTTATTTTTGTGTGTTTTTGTTAAATACACATCAGGTTATATTAATCTAAAAAAAAAATTGTATAAAATTTTATTATAAGAAACAATTTTTTAAAAACTATAATTATCTTAATAAATCAAAAATTAAATTTCTCATTGTTTCAAAAATAATATTTTTATTTTTGTTAGCGAAAATCATGGAAATATATAGTTAAAATGAAGAAAACTTAATAAAACTGAAAATATGTGAAAAATAAATAGCAATTTGTTCATTCACAATTTGATGCAATTATTGATCAATAGAAGCATGATGAATGTAAATTCAAGTCGAATACTGTGTGTATATGTTTCTCTAATCGTACCGCATGTACGAACGGATTCATGTTTCAGGATACAAATGGGTCAGATACACAGGAGCACGTTACTGTGTGCCAGGAATGGTCTCAGTTGGTAGGGATCTCGATGGTTCTAACATAGTCGTAGGACGTGCCATGTTCCAAAATGATGTCATCCCTGCGAAGGTCAAACCGGAACATGGTGTCGCTTATGTTTGTCATGGGGGAAGGGAACACTTGATGCATGATTTTGAGGTATAAATTTTCAAAAGCCCGATTTATGTTTTTAAATATCTATATTGTCAACCTTCAATTTCAAGATTATGTCCAAAACCTTTACATTTTGAGGTTATGTCTGTTGGTTCTTAGAAAGAATCTAGATTCGCCTTTAGCGGCAAATAATAGTAAATATTACTATTTTATTATTTTTATCATTATTGTTCTTTTATTATTTACTTATTTAACAAGTAAATGGAAATAGATAAAAAAAATTTATTATCCAATTTCACAAAATTATTTATAACACTGACTTCATAGATTTTTATATAATTAAATATTTTAATAACGATTATCTGAAATTATTATCTTATGAACGTTATATAGATAAGATCCCATATGGCAAGCTGATTCATTATATCGATAAATATGTTTGCGAAATCATTTCTGTTTTTCACAAAAAAAAAAAAGATGAATAATTAAAATACTGAATTTGTTTTTTTGAATTATAATATTTTTGTTATGACAAACATAAATTAATATAGATTTAGTTAATTTTGTGTTAATTAATATTCATGTCAATTGCAATAATATTCAATAAGCGTATATGCTTCGGAAACCAGGTGCTAATGCCAGCTGATTTTCATTGGATTCATTCTCATAATGGATTCATACCACATGGAGCAGTGGAATCTGGTAGGACATCAAATGGAGAGACTCTTTATACTGGACGAGTTTATCATAACGGAGTTCTTACTGCCGGAAAGGTAATATTTTTAAATTAATTTTTTTTTTTGATTAAATAAAAATTAATTATTTCTTCATTTCACTCTTTTATATACAGGTACATCCTAGTCACAAGGTTCTCTACATCCCATTCGATGGAAAAGAAATTCCTTACAGAGAATATGAAATTCTTGTACAGAGTTGAATTTCTTTAATAAAAATGTTAGAAAAATAATTATAAAAAAATTGACTGTATTATAATACATATGTATAAATATAATATAAATAAATTAAAATTAAAAATTATTGTATAAATCCTTTACATTTTAGTCCATTTAACTGTTTAGTCAGGACGATTTTATTTAGCTAACCCTATATTCAGAGTAAACCAAAATCATTATAAAAATTCAACAAAAGAATTTCTTACATTTAGAACATTTAATCATCATATATATTGACACAACTAAAAGTATGTACCAACGTGTCAAAATAAATTGATCATCGCTTTATTTGAGTAAATCAATTAAGGAACATATCGGACAAATTCACAGAAAGAGATTTCATCTTGTGTGAACCTTAAAAATGAAATTTCAGTCTATATAGTATGCGTATAAAAGGGATTTGATTGTATATAATAAAAGTGTTTATTGAACGAACACCCTGTAGATCAGGGGCACGTGACCGTTGCCGATATTATTCCCATAGCCAGGGCACGTGTCTGCTGAGAAGTTCCATTGTTAGCTCTCCAACACTCGGGGGTTCTGCTATTTAATATTTTGATCGAAATAGGCCTAGAGGGTTGCCTTTGCACGATTCCCTTTTGATCAATTTCTCTCGCTTGGATCGGTGCCTACTAAACGTATATATATATTTTGAGAATGGCAACAGCTGCACCATCATATGTACCACTATATATATATATATATATATATATATGTATATATAGTCTAGTACATCGCGGACAATGATACAATATTGCGTGAAATACATTTTCCGTAGCGAATCTGTAACCCCATAACTCGTTTAATCAAAGGCCGCCGCTTATATTTCGAGGAAAAAAAAAAGAATCAACCCTTTCGTATATATCACCTTTTTGAGGGAGGACGCACACAATGAATCAGTCATTGACGAATTATATTTTTCATTCTTAATTTATATTATTAATTTTATTTGTAAGCTTAAATTAAATGAAAAAAAAAAATTATCTATTCTCTAAATCTGAATCAGTCATATTTTACTGATTAGCAGTATAGTAATCTACTAATTGACATAGCGAGAATTGAGCAACTGACAATTAGTAGAAATTTACTGATTCAATTAGTAAAATATCAATTACTGATTGAATCAATAATATAAATATATGGCGGCGGCCACAAAATCTACTGATTTAATAGTTAATTTTAAAGGTTATGTTATATACAACACAGAAAATTATAAGGTATTAAAATAAGCTGCAACGCTTATTTTAATGCCTTTTTATTTTTCTGTGAAATTACTGATTTACATAAGTTATTTTCTATTGCTTGCGCATATTCACTAATTGAGGCTTCAAATTCAAGAATCGGTCGCCCGCTATGGCTAAAACAGTGTGCACGACCGGTTCTTGAATTGGGAGCCTCAATTATATTAGTAAATTTCAAAAAATAACTGAAACTTCAGTTAAAATGAAAAGTACTGATTGAATTAGTAAAATTTCTACTGATTCAGATTTATTTATTTATTTTATTTAATTACAATGTACGGGCTTACAAATAAAAAGTTAAAAATGCCCTTTAGTGCAAAAGCACTTAATATTATAAGAAGATATAATGAATGTAATCATAGAATGACGAAATCATGTATAGGTGACTTATAGACTAATACAAAATTAATTTTCATAGGTCGTTTGTGAATTTGCCTAAAGATATACCAAAGAAGTCTAACGCGTGACAGTGCTCGTTATCTCTAATACAAATTCTGTTAATAACACTGTTGTCTAAATAGTTAAATTTATTGAATTTAACTCTGAACAGTTTTTGATTTCTTAAACCTTTTGAAGGAACAATAAAATTTATGCTTGACAATATCGATAGACAATTGATTAATCCGTTAATAATTTTGAACAATAATAGTAGGTCCAAAAAAAATAATTCTGGAGTAGAATTTTGAAACCATTAGTATTTTTCTTAAATCTGTATAATCATGACTGAGTAAGTTGTAATATAGATTTCGAGTGTATTACTTCTGGCCAGCAGCACCAGAACTGGGTTTGCGTCAGGTTTGACTCTAGACGTTCCAGACGATTCTTTTTACACGGATATTAAGAAACAAGAAAGGTTTGTGGCATTCCTTAATTATACCGCAATGCATTGTAGTCGAATATAAAGTCGGTTCTACAATGGGCAGAACATTGGGACATCAGCACGTACACTTTCACGTTAGCTTACAAACGTTGCCATTGGACTTAAAGTTGGTTCCACAATAATGCTGATTCTACACTCACCGAAAAATGAGCGAGCGGTCCGCTTTTCCGTGACGATTCCGATATTTAACTATATCTACACTGAGAGAAGAAAAGCACGGAATCTAAAATGGAGAAGTTCAACATCTGTACACCAAGTTGAGCGCAGCAGCAGCGTCACTGTGTGATAGATGCCGTACTAAAATGTGAAATGAATGGCTTGAGTATAGATACACTAAGAGAAGAAAAGCACAGAATCCGTACTGTGATGAACGCCGGCCGTGTAAAATGGGTGTCAGTATCCGTTCTTTAGTTTTGTTCAGTTGGTGTCGTTCATAGTTCAGATACTAAGCTCTAGCAGAGCGGCAGCGGTGTGAACTAAATTATACGGAATCTGTCTCATAACGACAGACAGATACTCAAGCCAGGCACAACATCCATTGTACGGCATCAATCACACAGTGACGCTGCTGCTGCGTTCAACTTGGTGTACAGATGCTGAACTTCTCCATTTCAGATTCCGTGCTTTTCTTCTCTCAGTGTACTGTACACAGATATGAACTGTTCTGAAGTACAGTATCTGTCGGTCGCTTTGAAACAGATTCCGTATAACTTAATTCACACCGCTGCCGCTCTATGAACGACACCGCAACTGAACAAAACTAAAGAACGGATACTGACACCCATTTTACACGACCGGCGTTCGTCACAGTACGGATTCTGTGCTTTTCTTCTCTCAGTGTATATATATTTAAAAAAAAGTAACGGAAATGCAGACCACTCGCGCAGTTGTATAGAATCAGCATAAGCTCGTCGGACGTGGACCTAATAAGAAAGAGGAGTATGGCGATATACATCTATACACCTCTCTCTCATTAGGTACACGTCCACGTCCGACGCACTTATTGTAAACCCAACTTTATGGCTAAAACATAAAATTTCGTGGTTCTAGAAGAATCGAAGAAGTCAGAAACCCGTTATGATTCATGTTTTCTTACAATGGGCGTTTTCGACCTTGAAGCCTAACATAGCGCGGGAGTTGATAGAGTTCAGTTCCAATGACGACTGCAAAGCTTAAACTGTGTATTTTTTCAAGAGATTTTTGAGTTTTAATTTAAAGTTCACTTTGTCTACTTCCTTTGTAGAATTCAGAACAAAAAATTATACATTCAGTCTGATATGTGCCACGAGAAGTAAAGCATAGAGTAAAAATTCACGGAAAAATTTATTGTCAACTATATTCAGAGCTTTCTCTCCTTTCCTTGGACTACGAACAATACAGTTATATTCGGTAAGTGTTTTATACACAGAAAATTAAAAGGCATTAAAATAAGCTGATTATTTTAATTCAATTTTGCTTATTTTAATATACATTTTGGTATTAAAATAAGCAAAATTGGATTAAAATAATAAGCGTTGCAGCTTATTTTAATATCTTATAACTTTATTTTTTATATACCAAAAAAGTATTTAAAATTTTTGATTAGAAAAGGGTGAGAGGTTCTTATATTAGAAATTCAATTTATAATTTTTTCATTCATTTGAACATCGAAAAAAAATATTCTTGTATTCAGAGGAAAATTCCTCTTACAGAATCCTCTTGAATTTTATTCTTAAAACAAGAGTATTACTCTTTAAATGAGAATATTTTCCTCTAATTTCAAGAGGATCGAAACAAAAGGACTATTCTAGAGCATTCCTCTTATATTCAGAATAATCTTTTTAGAATAAAAATAATACTCTTAGAATTTAGAATAATCTTCTATATTTAAGAATATTCCTCTAAATTCTAAGAGGATTTCCCGCGTAAAAAGTCGCTCATGCGTAAAGATGATTGCGTCATATCATTTATGTCGCGTCATAAATCGCATATCATGCGTGAAAAAGTTTTAATTTCTGTGTGAAAAAAAGGGGAATAAACCAAAATGGATAATAATCTTTTAAATATTTTGATAGAGTTGCAACTTACACAATACGTACCTATTTTTGTAGGTAAAAGAAATTTTTAAAAGTAATTTTTAAGAAAATTTAAATAATTTTGAGGTTATGCTATTTAAAAATTTATTTTATTACGATTTTTATTTATTTTAATTTTATTTAAAAAATTTATTTAAAATAAATTTTCAAATTTAATGAATTATATGTTTTGCGCATAAAAATATTATTAAAAATAAATTTAGTTGATTTATTCAAAAAAATTAAAATCAATTTCAATTTATTTATATACTCAAATAGATGTAAATCATGGAATAACAAATTTTATTCCTTTTAATTTTATAGATTATATCTATGACATACAAATTAGATGATTGCAATTTTATTATTTCAGACTTCTTTTTAAGATGATATTTTCCTCTTAAAATAAGAGTATCCTCTTAAATTAAAAGGAATAATTTTACATATAGAGGACAATCCTCTTAAATCTAGAGGACATCCTTTTGCAGCATATACTAGAGGAAAATATGCATTGAAATAAGAGGAATCCTCTTGAAACAAGAGGATTTTTTTTTCGGTGAACATTCAAAACTTTTGTATCATTTACTGAGTCCTTGAACATTTTTTTCTAATCCGTAATTATTTTACATTTATTACAAAATAATAAAAATTTTGTAATGGTTTTTACTTTTTTTCTACTTAAAAATTTGCATCTAAATTTTTATTTAAAATTGAAAATTTTTAATAGTTACGAAATTTGTTTGTAACATTAAATAATATCAATATTTTTCTTTTATAGAGGGCGCAATTTAAAATTGTATTGAAATTTCACTGCCACCATAACTGATCGAAATATGAGTTCAAAAAAACGTGTTGGATTTTCTTGTGTGGGATTTTTTTTAGCGGATAAACAAACAATGTCTGTCAAGAAGGAAAAATATAACGCGAGAAAAATAAGAAAAGGTGATTATCGATAATGTTTTATTGAAAATAATTTCTTAATATTACAATTATATTCATTTCTCTTTATACTCTAGGCTAATTAAATAGCGACCATTCGCTGATTACTAGCGAATAGTCGCTAACTCAAAGTAATATTTTTTAATAATGTTCTTTTTTTAAAAAAAAAAAAAAAAAAGTAAAATCACGTAAACCGAAGAACCCGACGTCTTTAACCGTCACACGAGGGAATAAAATTGATGAACTTCTGTTAAAATGGAGTCCACCCTTTAATGAGGACATAATAGAATATATTGTTGAAAAAAAAGACGGTACCTCCTGGAATGAATTTCGTATTCTAAGTGGTAATAGGGTTACTTGTCGCATCAAGAAATTACGTGAAGGAGAACGTCATCAGTTTCGAGTGAAAACTGTGAATCGTTATGGTAAATCAACTGGAACTAAGGCTGTGGAATTTTTTGTCCCCCCATTTGGTTTAAGTACGTCATCATTATATAGAAAATTATGTCTTATCTAATAAACTTGTTATTTGTAATTTATTAATAATCAAAATATTTATATTTCAGTGTACCGCCCTTACTCATGAATGTTTTCCATGGTCCTACTTGACTCATTTTTGCTGTTGATCAAAATAATAGAAAGAGCGGCAATACATTTTTTATAGTTTTTAATAAAATTAATGCTGTATGAACAATGGTAATACATTTTTAGTATTTTTTTTTTTTATTGAATTTTGGTTTTTTTTTATCCTTTTTCGTGTACCACGAATCGAGACAAAAATGCTTTTACCCTGGACACAAAGCATGGAAGAATATTTTTGGTATTTTTTTCTTGAATTATTTCAAACCCTTGGAAAACCATTACTTAGTATTTTTTAAGGCAACATAACAAAGATATGTGGTTAATCAGGATAAGAGAAACATGAAAATGTACTCAGACAAAGGAATTAGTAATAACGAATACCATTGAAAAGTTTGGCAAAATCTTGTAAAAAGTCATCAAGAAATTATTTGTTAAGATATTTTAAATCCACGAAAAATCAAGTTAGAAGTATCTTTATACCCTAGAAATAAACCGCAGCAATAGAATTTTTATAAAATAAGGCATTTAATGTTCCTTTTAATTTTTTTAATTTCTAATTTTATATTTTCAATTACTATCACAGAAAATTATAAGGTATTAAAATAAGCGTTGCAACTTATTTTAATTTAAACGGTTCTATTAACTATATAAAAATAGTTAAACCAATTAAAAATGTAATTGGTAGAATTACATTTTGTGATTGTATTAACTCAATTTAAAAATGTTAAAACAACTCAAGATGTAAGTAGTAGATTTTACTACTTAAAGTCTGCAAACTACTCGAAGACTACTTTCTGCTTGTCCAATTGGTAATTTAACTATTTAAAGTAGTCATTTTTACTATTTTTATTAGTTGTTATAACTATCCTTTTTAAGTTTTGACTTGTAAATTTTTCATCTTTTAATTATATTATAAGTTGTTCAATTGCATAGTGCAGTAAAATCTACTACTTAAAGTGATAGTTTTAATTGCAAAGGATTTTTTTAATTCTACAACAAAAATGTTCTTAAAGCCTATTGAACCACTTTAAGTAGTAAAAGCTACTACTGAAAATAGTAGTTTTAATTGGAAACGATTTCTAAATTTTACATCAAAAACGTTTTTCAAGCTTATTGAATTAATATCTACTACTCTCTAAATCTGAATCAGTAATATTTTACTGATTATCAGTAGAAATCTACTCATTGCCATAGCGAGAATTGAGCAACTGACAATTAGTAGAAATTTACTGATTCAATTAGTAAAATATCAATTACTGATTGAATCAGTAATATAAATATATGGCGGCGGCCACAAAATCTACTGATTTAATAATTAATTTTAAAGGTTATGTTCTATACAAATTACTGATTTACATAAGTTATTTTCTATTGCTTGCATATTCACTAATTATATATTAATAAATTTCAAAAAATAACTGAAACTTCAGTTAAAATGAAAAGTACTGATTGAATTAGTAAAATTTCTACTGATTCAGATTTAGAGAGTACTTAAAGTATAGTAGTTTTAACTGGAAACGATTTGTAAATTCTACATCAAAAATCTTCTTTAAGTTTATCGAATTAATTAAAATAGTAAAAATCTACTACTTAAAGTAGTAGTTTTAATTATAGACGACTTGTTAATTCTACAACAAGCATTTTATTTAGACCTATAAAATCATAGAAATTAATAAAAAAATTTACTACTCAAAAAGCAGTTATATTAATTAAAGAAAATAATTCCTTTTACTACATTTCATATACCTGGTGAATATAGTAGTTGGATTTACTACTCTTCAAATTTTGAGTTGACTACAATTCCACTTGTTTTTACTACCTTAAGAAAGTTAATTTTACTACCAACCTGTAGCTGTACATTAACTACATATTTACGTAAAATCAACTATTACTTATTAACTTCTTAAAAATAGTTACGTTAACTACATGAACATGATTAGATTAACTAAAAAAGTAGTCATTTTAACTACTTTCTAGTAAACTACCCAATGGTAGTTGAATTTCTCGGCAACATTTTTTTTCAGTGTATACCTTACTAATAATTAAAAGGAGTGAATGTTGTATCAAACTAAATAACTATTTGTTAGGAAAAGTGTTTTATAGACTCGAACGGATCCAATTAAGCCTTAGGTACTTTCATACGCGGCGAGACATGGAAACCAGAATCAGGATTGGGATTCAGGAACTACGGGTAGGACAGCTGCATCGATCTGGAAACTCGGCAGCTGCTTCACTATATACATATATATACACACACGTAGATCCTACTCGCATGCCAATCAAATTGGTCGATTCACCGCTATATGTCAGTTGAATGAAAAGTGTTGGGTGTTCTTTTTTCTTCATTCAAACGGGCTTGTTGATTCTCTTGAGTATTTTTCACCAATTCACCCAATATATTTCCACCCCTTTCTATATATACATGTATATATATATATATACCTCTTCACCGTTAGGAGGAGCATTAGAATCAATTGATTACTTGATGTTATGTTTCTATTTGCTGTCACAATGCAACAGATGACCTAAATTGTATTCAAATGCTATTAATAAGCAATGCAATTGTAGTGGTATCTTAATAATAAACAAATCTCACATTGTGTATTAAATTAATTATTAATGTACCAATTTATGACTTTAATATATAATTCAAATTTGCATTGTGACGTTTTATTTAGATATATACAAATTATAATTTCCCTTATGATTTAATTAAATATCTTGTATTTAATTTAATTATAAGTTCATGTACAGTGGAACCTCTATTATCCGAACCGAAAAACATTTTATCCGAACTTCTATTATCCGAACTATATTTTCGTCTCTCGAATTTTAAATTTTATTTTCTCTATTTATTTTATCATTCATTCATTTCTGAGAAGAATGCGTGATTTGGCATCTAAAAAACGAATAGATGCTATCTTTCAAAGCAAAATAACCAAATTTATGCCAAAAAAAAATCTTAAAAATTTCCAAATTTTCTGAGTTTTTAATATATTATTAATTTATATATATATTTACATATACACTGCCGCTCAGTAGATTTTGCCCACTCTACAGAATTTTGGGCGTTGCAAAAAGTTTTATATTTTTGTTTCTAATAAAGATAAAATAATAAACAATGACTTTTTTTAAAGCTTATATCCTCTACTTTTAGAATATCTAAAAATTTAATAAAAAAAAATTTTTTTTTCATTGCTTAATTGCTATTATTAATTAACAAAATTTTCCATTTTTTTTTTTGTAAATTTTTAAACTGATATATTTTCATAACAAATCATCACATTTTATTTTCACATATATCATTGGAAAGGTAATTTTATCACCTTTAAAACGCTTTTTTGAAAATTGTTATACGATAATTTTTAACAAAGATATGGTCAATTGTTTAAAAAAAAAATTTTTTATTAAATTTTTAGATATTCTAAAAGTAGAGGATATAAGCTTTAAAAAAAAGTCATTGTTTATTATTTTATCTTTATTAGAAACAAAAATATAAAACTTTTTGCAACGCCCAAAATTCTGTAGAGTGGGCAAAATCTACTGAGCGGCACTGTATGTATATACTTATTTATATTTAATATTAAGTTAAATATATAGTTCAACTGTATTTTTTTTTTACTTTAATTATAAAAAAAAATTAAAATCTCTATTATCCGAATTTTCGATTATCCGAACCCGGCCTTGCCTAGATTAGTTCGGATAATCGAGGTTCCACTGTAATTTGTCTTTTTGGTAAAAGAACACTGTGCGATCGGTTAATAAAAAAAAAAAAAATATCATAAAAAGTAGAAATATAAAAAAAATAGTCATATATTTTTTTTTATATACCTATATAGCGTTTATGATTATACAGTTGAAGAGTTTTATGAAACTAAAATGAAATGGTTTTCGAAGAGCGAAGTGAAAAAGCATAAGGTAAAAACGTTAAATTGAAATAGACGGATATATTTTGCAAAAAAGAAAAAAAGAAAAAGGGGTTGAAAATAAACTTTTGTGTATCTTTTCTCGAGTTTGACATGGTTTCAACCGGTGATGTGGTGGTGTCAAGGTGGCAGTTTAGGCACGAGCCAGACAACTATACTAATACCACCCGGCAACAACAGGTTTCCGTCGAGGCTTTCAACCTTTAAAAAACTACCCATGGGGGCTAAAAACTCTATGATCGAAGCAGGGAGGAGAAAGAGAGAGAGAGAGAGAGGTTATTTCCCCCATACGAGTTACACGACTTTTATGTTATATGGTTTCACGCTAAGCGAGTATTTCGGCAGATGTTCATTGCTGAGGCCCGTGCCATCTGCCATGAGGTGGTTACACGCGTGCGCAAAACTTATGGGGTCCATATAATGACCACACCTTTATATTGGGTGTACCGGAAATTCTTCAAAAAAAATCATCATTTAAAGTTAAATCATTCTAAATTACGAATCAGTAATTACTTTCCAAATAATTGTTATGTAATATATAAAAATTGTTCCAAAAATTGCATCGAGATGCAGTTCGATTCCCGCTGTTCAGAAAAATATTTTTTAAATTATCAATTCTTGAAATTAAACAAAATAATTCAGAACCGATGTAAACTGTGATTACATGTTTGTATAAAGAAGGACCCTCCTTCTCTATGTAATATGATAATAAATTTTTTTCATTAGCAGTCAATAATGTGAAGATTAATATTCCCCCTCTTTTTTTTTATATAAGATAAGATCGATAAAACTTTTCGCAAAAGCAGTTTTGGTCAATTAAGTGTGTGGCATGAAAAAAAAGGGACAAAGCAATTGCAAGTTTCCTGTCGGCGCTTTTTTTTTTTTGCGCGCACATGTTCCCGCCAATTGAAGCGCTGCATAAAAATTAGCATAACGAAAGGGCGTCACAATGGGATGGAATCTGGCACACAGCCGCCACGCGACATATATACGACGTATCCCTATATATATCGTCATCATCATCATCATCCCCATGAGAAGTGGGTTTGCTGACCAGAACAATGTTGTCGATCGTCACGTATGAAAGCTTAACAACTACGAATGAAATGTCATTATAAAAAGTAAAAAAAAACACAACCCTCGACAGGACCAAAGCACATACTGTATTATTTTGTTACCGATCGTGCCGTATGCACGCTTTAGGATTAAATAT